GTTTGTCCCTTTTTAACCCAGCATTTTTTAGAGTGTATTGGCTTTCAGTAATATCTTTGTCTAGTCATCTTGGCAGTACTTTACTTGAATGAATAAACCACCCTGGTACTTAAAATTGGTCTTGATGTGAAATATATATTAAAATTCACTCTGATGGATATAACTGTATTTAATTCAGTTGTATTATCTCTCTCTTTTTTTTTTTTTTTTTACATAAAAGCAGGTTCATATCCATAAATGTGGAACATATAACTTTAATAGCGAACTATTTTAAACATGTGACTATGATAAGGCACTACCAGTGTCAAATGATCCATTGTTCTTGTTTTAAACGTGTCACCTCATGTTTAGAGAGTTTGGTGCCATTTAGCTTCAACATTTGAACTTCCAAACCTGATTGAAAGCATCTGTTATGGTAAGTTTAATAATAAAAAAACTCTTTAAATGTTACTGCAATCAGTACTTTTCGTAACTTATGTGCACTGACAAGTACCTCACTCACATAGTATAAATATCAATCAATACATTGACAGTTTTTTTATATATATATAATGTGCTAATATGCATAATAACATTTTGTTTTATACTTTATATCATATTGGATTAATGAGACGATATAATTACAGTGAGAATATCTCTAATACTTGAGTGGTTTTAAACTTGAAAGTGCGGTTCACGTTCAATATTGCACAGATTTTAAACAAATCTCCATTTTCAGCTTGTTAATTTTCCTTGTCTTAAATCTGTGATAGATATGCATGTATATATCTAAGTGTGTGTGCTACAGATAAACGAACAGGATACTGGCATAAGCACCAATACTTCTGGTGTGGTTGAATTTCCTCTTAAGTGAGTTGGTGGATCCACTATCCACAACTGGTGACAAAAAACAGTGGAAACTCTAAACCTGGACTGCATCCCTCAATAAACCATGTTTTTTTGGGGGGGGTCTGGTGTTAAACGAATTCTGAGAAGTAAAAAGTACCGTCAAATTGTTTGACTGTTGTCTCCTCCCTTGCTTTTGGCATCTCATTGGTCTGTTGAATCGGTCCAGACAGCACATGCGATTTCATTGGTTCTGTTGGCTGGTTGCCAGAGTTTTAATCCACCCCAAATATGATTTGACAACTTTCAGCTATATGATTGGAGCTACAATTTGCTGTGACAATTCTGTATCCCAGCTGCCCTCCCTGTCTGGCTATTAAATTCTGTGCTGTCGAGAGAAATCAAACAGACTCTTGAGCTGTGGGCAACAGAAAGAGGCTGTCAGCTGTCAGATTGATCAGATGCAGGTCTCGGTGTGCGATCATGTGACCCTTGGTCCAGGGGGAGGTTTTATGTTGCATAGTGATCAAAACTGCCCAGGTATTCCAGCCCTGCACGATAGCAGAACTGGTACTGCTCCTGTGGAGGGCGCACACACACACACACACAAACATCATTTGAGCTGAATAGCAGAGTGCTGATCAGTATACATCTGAAAACTGTTCAGTAAAAAAAAATGAAAGTAAATTTAACTTTGTACATTTTTGTTAGATAGAAAGCCATAATTATGAGAAATAAAATCACAGTTTTATATGCGATATGAAAGAAACAATTATGCAAAATAGTCACAATTCTGTGATAGGTGTAAGATGTGAAGTTACAAATACGTTAAATAATATGTGACCCTGGAGCACAAAAGCAGTCGCTGGGGTATATTTGTAGCAATAGCCAAAAATACATTGTATGGGTCAAAATTATCGATTTTTCTTTTATGCCAAAAATCATTAGGATATTAAGTAAAGATCATGTTCCATGAAGATATTTTGTAAATTTCCTACCGTAAATATATCAAAACTTAATTTTTGATTAGTAATATGCATTGCTAAGAACTTCATTTGGACAACTTTAAAGGCGATTTTCTCAATATTTTGATTTTTTTGCACCCTCAGATTCCAGATTTTCAAATAGTTGTATCTCGACTAAATATTGTCCTATCCTAACACCCATACATCAATGGAAAGCTTATTTATTCAGCTTTCAGATGATGTATAAATCTCAATTTCAAAAATTTGACACTTAAGACTGGTTTTGTGGTCCAGGGTTATATATCACATTTACTAGAAAGTCAATTTTGGGATATGAAGTCATAATGACAGTTATAAGAAATAGTCAATTATAAAACAAAGTCATAATAATGAGTAATAAAGTCACAAATGTAAGAATTAGTCAATTATGAAATGTTATGAAAAGTCACAATAATGAGAAATATATTCATAATTATTAGAAATAAGGTTGTAATTATGAAATATAAAGTCACAGTTAAAAAATTATGAACTATAAAATAAAAACAATAAACTGTCACATTTGTGAGAAATAGTTGCAATTCTGAGATATGAAGTAACAATAACAAGTAATAAATCACAACGAAGAAATAAAGTAAATTATAAGATATAAAGTCACAGTTGTGAGAATCAATTGCAATTCTGTCAGGACCACTATCGTCAAAGATGATTGACTTTTATAAAAGCAATAAGCCCCGTGAAGCCGTGGTTTACAGTGAATTTATAACAGCTATTATAAATTCACTGTAAACCACGGCTTCTTGGGGCTTATTGCTTTAGTATATTTCCTGTTTTTTCATGAGCATGGTAAGCCTAATGGTTTTAATGAGTGTTTAATATACCCTTGCATCTGTGACTTTAAACTCTCGCAGTATATACTGAGGCATGTTGTACTCCGCCATGGGATCCACCACGAAGTACTGATAGCGTGCTGACCTGTCAGATGGCCAGTACTGATGACATTTCTCCTGCATAAGAAAAAAAAAGTTCACACATTCATCAGTGTTACTATCGTTATCTGAAACTCAAATTATTTAAAACATTTTGTTAATTGAATTGAAGTTGAAATAAAATGGAAAACTGAATAAATAAAAATGGAAATTAAATGAAAATTAGAAATGCTATAATAGTATATACATACTAAAGTAACACTGATTAGCATTCATATCACTTTACAATAAACAATGAAGTGTGTGTGTGTGTGTGTGAACTAACCCTTCCCATTTCTCGGAGTTTAGTAAGCATAACTACTATAGTAGAATTGTGTTCCCAAAGCATCCGCCAGTAATCTTCAACTGTCTCAGCCAGCGGCCCCTGAGTCGCAATATATGCCCTCTGTTGCCTAGAGTGATGAGAAGGAAATGAAAACTTCAAGAACTGAGAATTTCACCAGCTTACTTACAAATGTTGATGTTTCAGTGGCTTGTTTTGTCGATGCATTCTTTTATTTCTACTAATAAATATAAAAAAAGAGAGATTGCAATGTACCTGTAGCCATCTACAAAACTGCCATTGACATAGTCTGAGCCCTCCACTCCTCTGATTGGTTGCAGACACACACGTGTGGTCTCATATGGCATGATATTGACCAATCGGTTTTTGAACTTATTGCATGGAAGGCTGGCATTGACGAATCGGGAGTTATGAGCTTTGGCATTAGCTAACCGCTGAAAAAGGGATCCAGAAAAAAAGAATTTTTTTCTGGACCAGCAACAGGAAATAATACACTTTTTTGATATATTATTGTTACAGTTTCAGTTAATTTGTTACTGAAAAAAGTAACAAAGTACGTCATATTGTTACTTTTAAATTCACAAATTACATTCGTGGGATGCACTCACTTTAAACTCCTGCTCCATTCCGCTGATGTGCTCCGGCGGTTCCGTCTGTGACAGTCTCTGGATGTAGGCGTAAAGGTTCCGTGCCGGAACCTCTGTGTTGCCGCAGGAAACGGCCTCCAGCAGTGCATCATAAATAAAGACGTACTGCTCCTCTGTCTGCACCATGTAGTTTCGCTGAGATCGCATCAGAGTCACGTGACCATAAACATCTATCGTCTTCTCCTGCTTCACACGCTCCAACATGGCATCAATCACAATGAAGCAGCCCGTTCGGCCCACACCAGCACTGAGAGAGATAGAGAGAGTGAGAGAAAGAGAGAGAGAGAGAGAGAGAGAGAAAGAGAAAATGCTACTGTCACAAGCACTCACATTAGCACATTCCAGCATAAAGGTTGAATTATCGTTGTGTGAAAAATAATTTTTTTGTGATTTTCTCTCACTGA